TACTACTACTACTACTACTACTACTACTACTACTACTACTACTACTACTACTAACAATAATAGTAGCTTGTATGGTGAAAATTCTTGCAAAAAATATCAAATTGTATACGCTTTGTAACCGACATTATCTCAGCAGACCTGATAGCATTCTGAAACAAACTCAACTTCCCGGAAATATTCTGCACAAGCTGCCATTTGGCTGGTCCTAGAATTTTAAGATGTAGCTAGCATCTAGTGGGTATCAGACAATATTTCGTTTAAAAGAAAATAAGTTATGGAGTTTACTATTTTGTAAGTGTAACTGTAAACAATGTACACCCCTGTCCACACGACTTGAGTCCTTTAAAGGTGGGCTGGTTATATTTTGCCTATCAGGGCCAAACTGGGATGATTGGGGTACGGAGTCGGCACCGGGGACTCTCGTGGCCTACAGGTTAATGTGTTCGCCTTTCATTCAATAGGTCTCGGGTTCGAATCCGGATAGCGACGGAAAATGTTCTTTATTTCACATCCTTTCCTGCTCTCTGACAATGTTCTGTCGTCTGCTTTCGTCTGCACTTTCTACCCCCACCCCTTCACCTCCTTTGCCCCCTCCTCCTCTGGTCTCCTGACTCTTTTTGCAGCCTTTCTACTGCTACTCCTTGGCTCTTTCTTACTGCTCTCTCTTTTAACCACACCCCTGATCTTCTGGTACGAAAGATCTACACTTGGCCTTCTCGGGCAAGTGCTAAAAATCTCAGAGGTCTAGAGTGCAAGTTGCGCATGTTAAAGATCCATTGGTGGTCTAAAATCGATACAAGTAGGCTTCGGTCGCTATCCGGGCAAATTTCAAAATTTCCTGCCATCCTCCCCCCACCCCCCCCAAAAAAAAGACAACAAAAAACAACAAACCAAAAAGAGTCGGCACACTTGTCACTTTAGAGAAACCTTCGATAATTACAATGCATGTGTAATTTTAAACAAGTTATTACCAATGATTTCTTTAAGCAGGTATTCATTCCTGTTTTTTAAAATTTACATTTATTTAACCTAATTAACACTTTTTTGTTGAAATTTTTTAACAGGTCATTACCAATGATTTATTTAAACAGGTATTCATTCATGTGTGGGTTGTTTTGGTGCACGTTTATTTAATTTGATTTAATTTTTTTGGGGAAAATTATAGACAAGTTATTACCAATGATCTATTTAAGCATGTATTTATTCGTGTTTTTTTTTACCTTTATTTAATTTGATCTACTTGTTTTGTTGATAATTTTTAAAAAAGTAATTACCGATGATTTATTTAAGTTGGTATGTTGTTCGATTTACTTGTTTTGTTGAAAATGTTAAATAAATTATTATCAATAATTTATTAACGCAGGCATTTTTTCGTGTTTTTTTTTGTACATTAATTTAGTTTCATTTACGTGTTTGTTGCAAAAATAGAATTGGAAATTAAAAAAATTCCATTCACTCCAAATCCATAATAATTTTTTAGATCACCAAATACTGAAAACTGCCGATCAAAATTTTATGTATTTTTTCCTTTGCAGTTATTCTGAATACTTCGCACTCCATCGACACTTTTTTTAGATGAGCAAAGAGGCTGGCTGTCTCGATACTGGTTATCAGAACTAACTCGGGG